GATGAAAATTTCAGATTGCACCCCTAAGTAACCAAGTGATTCACAAAATAGCACACACAGAGAAATTTGTTAGCATTTATACTCACTTGTCCTTCGGGTGTTTCAGCAGGACACATCATTCCCCATTGTGAATTATGCAACTGCCGAGGCTTGGCCAATTTACCTGGTTTATGAATTAAATTAAATGACGAAAAAACAACAACAATTTGCAAACTACTAGAAGAAAAAAGTACATAGGAGAAAAGGACACCCGGTCATCATTATTCCATTCACCATAATCAATAAAATATTTATAAGTAACAACAAATGTTTTCACCTTCTCGACCAATTGGTGAATTCAGTCTTCGTAAATGCGACAAGGTAGAAGCATATGTCAAACGATTTAACACCTGCAATAATATGCAAAACAATTACCTCCAAATGAAGAAAACAAAAAAACTTCACATTTGAGACAACATGAAATACAATTTGTAGGGGTTTAACATAGACGAAAGATTCAATAATCAGATTTGCATAATAACTGGATTCTGTGGTGAAATTTTAGTCCCCACCTGTGACACTCCAGCTCTTGTACCAGCTGCATTTGCCTGCCCCCAGTTTCCAGTTGCAAGTGAATACTTCAGGCCACTCGTAATAGTTTTTGCTTTGATGGCAAATTGCAAATTAACATCCTTTCCATTATCAACACACTGTACCATGTTCAAAACACATGAGCAATGCATAAGCTTGTAAAGAAAGCAATAGTTGCATGGAACAAAATCAAAATTCCTATAGTGCAACCTTTTGTACATAACCTCTCACATCTCTTGTTAACTTTCTAAATAGCTGCATTCAAACCAAAAAAATATATATATATGAGAAAATCTCTAAAAAGATAAACATATATATATATAACATTTGCAACCAAAAAAAGAACTTCTCAAATAAAAAAAAGACCATTCTAAACAAGCCTCCGAGTAAAGGACCAGCAAGGTCCAGCCTTTTGTTTCCGTAGTGGTCCCTATCATCTTCAGCTCTCCGGCCAAGGGCACATAAGAGTAGCCGGTGAATTATATAACTGGCACATGTAATGTCATTGAGTAACGCAATTTAAGAAGTCACAGCAAAAATAGCCCAGCCAGTAATGATTATATCTTGTATAATGATAATAATAAACAATCATAATAATATAGAACAAAATCAATAGATATATGCCATACCCAAAATAGTATGCCTTCTTAGTCTCACAAAATTCACCAACGCCAACATGGGGAAGCATTTCCTTTTGAAGGATCTCTTTGGCATACCTGAGACATCAACATAACAAACATATTGACAAATGCTAAAAAAGTTGTGTACAATATAATGGGGCAAGCCTAAATTTATTGAGATAATGCATACTTAATCCTCTTTTCCTTGGTCACACCAACTGTTGATCCTCTCTTCCCGATATAGTCTAATGCAACCTACAGTTAAAGAAAAGCATAACACAACAATCATATCAGTTACAGGTCACCGGACAAATGAAAGTCACAAAACATATAATTCATGAAAGAAAGCGAGAGGCTGGGATGATAGACTTATTAGCAACAGAGAAACAGGAGACCTGTTGATTTTGGATAACGAAGGCCTCTTCAAGGGAAGGTCTAAGCAACTCCATCATTTGAGTATCAGAGAAGTCATAACATATATGCTCTAGAATATCCTTGTCAGCAACAAATCCTAAAGCACGAAACACAATAATAATTGGAATCTCGGTTCGAATATAAGGTAGAGTGGCACGTATGTATTGTCCTGAAGAGCCCTGAAATAACATTGATAAATTGCAAAAGAATAGATTAGAACATATTGACTTCAACAAGGAGGAAGAAGTTCTAAATCATCAGAAATATGAAGAGAAGTACATTACCCCCTTGGCACTAGTTCGAGAAAGCATCCGTACAAACATGGTACTAGGAGGTCTATTTTGCGACTCAGCCATAGACCGGACTTCTGCCACAAAGGCGTACTTATTTGGCTGTCTTTTCTTGAAAACATATACGTGATTTGTGCTCATCTTCTCTTGTGCAATAAGAACCTTTTCACTCCCATTGATGATAAAATATCCTCCTTGGTCATATGGACATTCCCCAAGCTCAGTCAGATCCTTCTCAGAATTCTGATACAGCGTGCAATAACTCGATCGGAGCATGATGGGTACCTAAAGACAATACAAGTCATTACTTGCATAAAAATTAATGTTGCTACATCTGTTTTCTATAAAGTGTTAGAAGCAAACCTTCCCAATAAAAACTTTTGTAAAATCTTGTGTTTCAGTAACTTCTTCACCATCATGGCCTTTCTTTATAACTCTTTTTGAAACATCCACATACAAAGGCGCTGAGTATGTTAGATTCCTCAGTCGTGCAGCCTTGGGAAATAATGTTGCAGTCTCTCCATCAGATTCAGTCATCATTGGCTTACTCAAGTATATCTGGCCAAAGCTGATCTTGTATATTGTCTGTACATAACACGACCATATTAGAGCCACTGAATATGGTGCCTAGAAGTGTATGTTTTCTAAATACAGGGAGAATAATAATGGATATGGTGCATTCAATCAGTATCGAAATGATTGAGGGGGAAAGACATGGATCTTATGACTCCATTATTGGATGTAGAGCAATAGAACAAAAGTGCATCAGCCAACAAAAGTGAACTTGATTACGTTCTTGAATTGTGGTAAAACGGTGAGAAAATCATTCTTCAATTTGGGTCTTTTCTATCAATTAAAACCTTATCATACATAAATCACACAGCAAAGAAAATTTAAGTGACTTGGGGGCAGCTCAAATACCAGGTTCAAAAACATTTTATGTTTATAAAAAAAATTAAAAAGTTTTTCTTTATGTAAAAACTTATTTGGCAGAATAATTTTTTTAAATCAGTTTACATAACAAAAAATAGCAGAAAACAGAAACAATATATATTTTGCTTTCATATAAATTCTATTTATGCTTTCTCAATTAATTGTTCGTTTATAATTATAATTTTTTTTATGTATAGCTTGATTTCAATGTTTTGTATGTTTAGATTAGTACTTAGAAGAAATAAACGAAAATACAATGATAAATAAATTCCATTTTTTTTCCAAACCTTTTAAAAAAAATTAGAAACGACATAAAAAGGTTTTTAGTCCCTCTATTTTATCTTTGATTTCAATATGAATAACAAAAACCCAACATGAAAATCTATTTGTAAGTGTGGCAAATGAACTCCATGAAGTGATGTTTTTGTTGATATTATGTTTTAATAATGACGTGGGGTTTAAAAAATAATATTGGGTGGAAATCATTATTCAGAAAAGCTTTAAAGCATTATTTCAACAAAAATAGAATGAATGTTAGGGCTAATTCAATTGAGAAGTGTCACCGAGAATGATATTTTTTGTTAATTTGAAATGCTAGAAAGCGTCCATTAAATTTCAATCAAAGAACAAAAGTGATGATTAAACCCAAAAGCGGACTAAATTGCATGGACTGAAAATGTAATTTGACCCACCACCCAACCCCCCGAACACAAAGAAATACGATAGCAGTAGAAGAAACATAGAGCAATATTTCCTTTCCCATCACTAACAAATTCCGAGAGTATGACAAGCCATTCGTCGCCATTTCCAAGTGAAGTTCATCCAGGGAGTAGACAAAACATCATAACTCATAAAAGGATAGAGTGCCAAGTAACCCCTTATCCTGATGAAAAACTCTAAAGATTCCCAAGAAGTCGTACCTCAGCAACATCCGACTGGTGCCCGGGATTGTGCTGCGACTCGGGACGAATCTCAATATCGGCAGATTCGTCCACAATTTCCTGCATAGTATTCTGAATAAACTCATCGAAGGAATCGAGCTGCTGCCGGACTAACCCCTTCTCTTCAAAATAGGCTGAAATCACTGCCCAAGCGTCTTCCTGAGTGATCTCTTCTTCGTCATCTTGCATAGACTGATCAATATCGTCGTCCTCGTTCATATTCCGATCATACTCCTCGTATTCGTCCATTTCTTTAAGGTACCCAAGGGAGTGCTGTTTTTCGGGAGAGAGCCTTGCGCGAGCTCGAATGACCTTCCCGTTCCGAAACGACCGACTCTGCTATTTATACCTAAACCGACTGCTGAACTAAATGGCCAGTTTGTTAAGCCCATGTCTTTTACGGCCCATGTCTTCCTTCAACTAAATTGATTAAAACGTTTTTTAAAAAAGATAAATTATTATTAATTAATAAAATAAATAACAAAAAACGTGTTTTTTTAACACAACATACAGGGGAGATTCGAAACTCACAACTATTTCTGGAGATAAATAGATAATATATATATATCCTTATTAATTAACCATTTTTTTTTCTAATCTACTTCTATATTATAACCAAAATAGTTTTTTAAAACCTGCTTTTTTTTTATTTGAGATTTTGAAAGTAACAAAAAAGAAAACTAGATACTTCTAAAAGTAAAAAGTGAAACAAATAATTTTCATAAATGGTAATTAAGTAGGCGATAACTCAATTCTGTGAAATTTTGGTCCAAATCATAATATCATAATCAGCTTAGATTATGTTGAATTATTAAGAATTTTTAATTTATTGTCAATGGGAGCATATTAAATAATTGACCCATCATCTAGTTGTTGTAAAAGAAAAAGTGTTTTTAATTTACTAAGTAGTTAGATTAAATTGATATTTCTACCCAAATTAAATTAAATTTCTCTAAGCCCAAACAGTAGCCACGTGAGTTTACCAAAAATCTCTCTAAAAAGTTATAAATTTTGAAATTTTTGTCCTTTTTATACATCCTCTCAAGTTTCAACATCCTCAAAGATTTGTATACCACATTTGATCCCGCAATATTAAAAAATTTTAAAACTAAAACAGTAGTTGATCGGAATTTTCATGTATTGAAAGAGCTACAAATCTTTTTTTAGTATCCATAACAAGGCGATTTTATCGGGCACAAAAACTAATAGTGCCTGTAAAATAATCAGTTGAATTATCACACCAATCAAAGTACTATTTCTTATTTCATAGACTGTCTGCAAGCTATAAATTATCTACATAGAGCACCACAAGCTTCACCAATGGTGCAAGTTTGCAACAAATAGAAGACAGACCAATATTTCACATGGCACACAGTGGTTTTATTTAGATTCATTCACTGGGTAGGATGGTTTTAGATACTTATATGCGTGAAAACTACACAATCAGAACATTTTCAGCCCTGATAAATTGGCTGCAGTCGATTCCCTTACTCGAAAATGTCTCGACAAGCTTCGGGAAGATCTTAGCAAGCATGATTTTGAACCCAGTAGAACTTTGGTTTGGATATTCGAGCTTTGTTGCTCCACAGTGATAATCACTACCTACCGGAGTTCCTTCCATGTATGCTATACAAGCTGCTAGAATGTGTTGATAACGTCTCCTGAAGTGTTCCTCCACAAGTGCTTCAAAATGCTGCACCAGAGGAAATGGTATTTTTTTAATGAAGTCACAATTACAAGAGTTTTAGCAATATTACTTATGCTTTGTTCAAATGATGGTATATATTATTTAGAAAAAGAATTAGAATTCAGCATATGGAATACGCTTATGCAATGCAGACAATGTAATATCGGTGAACTTTCAACCAAGATATTTCATAATTCTGACTCATTCATCTGCTACCATATGGCATAAGTTGTTTATATACAAGTATGATTATTTGACCCAATTTCATTACCAAACATAGTCAAATTCCTTCTGATTTGTTTCATAAATGGAGGCCAAATTTTATTGACTGATTCAATTGCCAGAACAATAGAAAGCAGAGTCAGTAATTATACCTTAGGCGGCTTGCTTAGCAAGTACATCATAGATTTGCAGGTGACAAGAAATGCATTTTCATTGTAGCTGTCGGAGTTTTTTTCTCCCTCAGCTCTTCCTAATTGTGCATCATATCCTGCCTCGTTATAATACGGCTTCTCGTTAAGCACGAGAGCCTGAAGGGAAAGAAGAACTTGAAGTATAGTAGAGCTCACGGGATTCCACACTTCAGAACCGCTGCCAGTCCAAGTGTTTAGCAGACTCAAACATACCTTGCCAGATTCGTACAAGTTAGGGTTGACACGGAGCCCACCAGAAATGTAGTGCACTAGCTGCAAAAGATATGAAGGAACTTAGTAAGAGCCTAAGATCTTCAAGAGAGATGAATTTTCTAGCTAAAAAATTCATAAGCAGACTGAAAGCTTGGAACAATCTTTCCCTATTTGTATGATAAAGAGAGAGAATGTCCAACAAAAGGACAACAGAAACGTGGTGTGGAGGGCACCTAACATTTCAAAGAAATATTATATTGGCAGTAGAAAGTCGGTTTCTCACAGTCACCATTTGAAACATGAAGACGTACAAAATGCAGAACTTTATGATAAAACTTACAGGTGGTATTTGAGGGTACTCTGGAGGAAGATAAATGTCAAAAAAGAAAAGTCCATCGTGATATGGTGTTCCAGGTGCACCAATAATGACGGCTCGAATAAGATCCATCCTCTCCTCAAAGACACGAACATAGATAGTTTCTACAAAGATTTCTCTCATTCAGTTGGACAGGCATATACCATCTTCATAAGAATCAACGATAGAGAGTAAACTAAAGACTTCGACAATAAAATGCTAACCAGGGAGATTATTTTTAAGAATGCTCCATTCTTGTTGCACCTTCTTTAGCCAACCTCTTCTTGCCTATGAGAAACCAAAAGCACTATGAAAGATTATCTTGATTGTTGAAATCAAATGACACACCTAAGGAACTAACTTCTAAGGTATGTTTCTGACCTGAGAGAGCAGGGATCCGTTTCCTGATGAAAGAAAATGATGATCTGGGCAGTCACTGGCCATATCAAATTGTGTAAATAGATCGTAGTTCTCACTTGAGGTTGAAAGCGTAAAATCTTCATTCTTATGATTTTCTTCTATTTTGAAACTTGTCTCACCAAAATCTTGTAATTTAGCTATTTGCGACAGCTCAGTGGACTGGCAGCAAGTTTGCAGCTCTTCTTTCTCATTGAGTAAACCAATCTCATCTCCACCTTCAAACGATTGTAGGGCTGTAAAAGTGCCTGACAGGATTGTTGATCGAACTGATCCAAACAAGGTTGTAAAAATGCTTGAGAAAAATTCAATGGCAGCTCGAGAAAAGAAGCAAGTAGTATCCCTTTTGAAGTTTTTACCAGCACCATCACAATTTGGCATATCCTAAGCACAAAGTTGGTACGACCATTTAGTTTTAAATGAACTAAAAATAGATTCAACTTTAGAACACTTAAATTTAAAAGAGAGATTTTTTTTTAAATCAGAAGTTAACTAAATTAGTTCCGGAGTTCTAAAATGAATGGTACAAATATGCTGTTCACGGTTCACCAGATTTCGGAAGTGTTGGAATTGGCATTGCCATTACCTTTCCTTTTTGAATATTATATGGTTTCAAATGCTCAATCTGGTCTTGTCTCAACTCCTCAACATTTTCACCATTAGGTACAGCAAGTGTAGAAACTTCATACTTATCAATGGGGAAAATCTCTTGAGGCAAAACCTACAATGAAGTGGAAAGGAAATAATATGACCATAGAAGGAGTCTTTATAGATGCAAACCAAAAACTAATGTAAATTGTAAGGGGCTAACTTCAAATCCTATTAGTTAGTTTTCATGGATAATTAAAAGTGCTAAATGATGGTGCAATTGCCTTAAACCAGGAGCTCTTGAACCTAGAAAATAATTTATCTAGATAAGGCTATCAACTGGAGAAGGGATCGGAACTGAGCATTCACGAAGCAATAAAGATAGAGTATTACAGCTAGATATATTAACGCTACAAATGAATTTCTGTGGGGTCTCTGTTACATGCATGATGTATGTAATAGTGCTTGTAGCAGAGAAACAAAATGAGGTTACAAATAAAAAGTAAACGCACATGCAGATACATTAACTAAAATGAATACCTTGCTTGTAGAACAATTAGCCCATCTGACCTCCATGACGCCATCTTTAAAGCCTATAACATTACCAATAAAAGATAGGAAATTGTCCATATTCATGGTATTATCGATGACGCGATTCTCCCCATTCTGAGCGGACTCCTCACTCATGGAAATTTCATAATTTGTATTATGTTCATCAGATTGACCACCAAACTTATCCAATGCCAACCTAAACACAATATCTCCAAGAGAGAAGGAATAATCTGGGTGCTCAACCAATTCATAAGCACTCATTGTTTCCTCCACCAACAGTATATCCAGATCATTACCTTCAGTCAAATCACTGGTTCTCCATTGAACCTTCACAGTTCGTTCCTTTGCATCAACCGCCCGCACGACACCCCATCTCTCAGCTATAGATATGCTTGGATCATTACAAGTGCCCTTCTCCATAACTAACTGTTGAGGCCAAAATTCGTGAGCATTCATAGCATTTGCTGGAGCTAAACAATGGGAATCTAATTCTGAGGAGCGGCTACCATCCTGCCATAGCACATCAACTTTAGTTTTCTTCTTCACGATAATAGATATTTCCTGAAAGCCTGTACCACAATATCCACCATTCATGAGGTCATGTGTGGTAGTGAACTTTTCTCCAAGATAATCGCCTTTTTCATCCACTGGAAAAATACACCAGTCACCAAGATGCCAATTTGCATGTGGAAAGCATGACAACAAGGTCAATTTTTTTGCATGCTGCATCCGTTGCGGAGCAGGTAAACTTGAACTACAACCCATCAGAACCGAGGCAAGCCAATCAACATACACTAGTCCTGCTTCCACAGAACAGACTGTTCCTTCACATCGGTCATCCTTCCAACCAGATAACCATCTTGGTGATTTGGAAACATTCGAGAGCCTTACCCTTTGTCCAGGGTAATAAGGGTACTGTGGATCATCAAGTGCATCAACAGATATGGACAAGAGCTTCTCTTGGTCCACAGCAATGATTTCACACTTTGTCCCATCATCAAAAAGAACACTGACAGAATCAATAACCTTATCAACTCTTCCAATCCATGACCCGTGAACAACAACATCTCCAACAGAAATGGAACGAATTTTTAAAAGATCTTTAGAATTTACATCTTTGATGAAGGGTCCATGATTTTTCTCCAAATCAACAAGCATGTCAATTCCAACCACCTTTCCCATCTGTCCAAATGGGTCATTCACAGAACAGACTACATCTCCAAGCATGAATTCCCTCTCAAAGGAAAGGAACTCATCAATTTTCCCAATTGTCTCCTCTAAGCTTGATAAAATGCAACTAGTCTGGCCGTGATAAAAATATTCAGCTTCCTCTGGGTCATCACTGCTATCACACTCACTGGAATTCTCCCAATCCGAGTCACTAAGGAACAGGTCCATCAATAGGATTTCTATACAAGACAAAATCATATAATGCTACGTTATTAACATAACTACAAACCAAAATAAAGATGAAAATAATTTATAAGAAAAAGACCTCAAAGTATCCTCCAAGTAAAAATTCAAACCTCAGTTGCTAAAAACAGAATTTGAATTTTTTCTTGTATTTTTGCTTAAGCTTGTTAGCAACAGTACTTCTTTGAGTAATTCATAACTTCAAGGAGAGCACCCATTCCTGAAAATAAAATAAAATAAAGATGATATATCACCCAGAGTATGTTATTGGATTGAGAAATATCACACAAGAAGAAAATCATCTTCCATGTATTGCTTCATTACAGTAATTTTGACAGCTTTGAATCATAATTTTTTAAACAGAAATTTTGAATTATTCTTAAAGAACATCAACAAAAATGTGTCGAAGGAACAATAGCAAGTAGGATATGGAGGGTACCATTCACTTTGCATTTCTTTTAGTAGTTCTTCCAACTCCTGGGCACGATATAAAAGTAAACTGATTTGTGTTGCACAACTAACCGAAGTTTGAAGTCGAAGCAAAAAAGATAGATGATTGTGACAATTGTCTATACTATCTGCCAAATAAGAAATTTCAAGTTAATATATAAATGTTATACGTAACTGAATCAAAATCCACTGTAGCATACCTTGACTGACAGAACTAGAGATTCAAATTGCAAATAATATTTGCAAAGGGATAATAGGAGTCGACGAGGACCCAAATGCCAAAGGAGATTTGCCCAATAATGGACTGAAGTTTCAGCCAAAGGAAACTTCTGAGAAATATTTTCCAGGACTGTTGAAGAATCAAGAAGCAGTGAAACTGCCAAATAAAGACTTCTTTGTATCGTTCTGGAACAAAGACAGATGATGACAAAGCAGATTTGTCTCAATTTTCAGGTCGACTGCATCAACCATAAGAATCTATTTGCCAAAGGAGATTTGCCCAAGCAGGAAAAATCTTCAGAATAATTATAAATGCAGAAATATTAACATAAATATTCAACTACTTGCGAAGCCCAATTTCTAATGCCAAAGGAAATTTGCCCAAACATGAAGCTTTTATAGCCAAGTTTATCAGCTCTCAAACAGAAATTTTCCACATAAGGACGTTAATTAATGTTAGTCAATGGCACCAAAAGAAATAACCAATCCACTACATATATCCAGCCGCTTGATCTAGAATGGAGAAGCCGCATGTTCCTTGATTACATCAAGAGAGCTATGTCAGCAATTATTATTCATGGAATCAACAGCCCGGAAAATCCGTTACATTCCCTTTTCACCTGCAACAATGATTATTATTAAAACCTTGAAAAAATGATGAATAGAAAATAGAATATTGATTAGAAGCCGCAGTTATTGGTCGTTCAAGCAGCAGCACTTAAAATTATTCCTCAAACAGACATTGAAAAGAATATATATATATAGCTATATACACCGAAATAAGTGCATGTATTCACTTTTAGCATTTATTAACCACTACTACCTTCAATGCCACTTGACATAGACCAAGCGCAAGGATTGGAAGTAATACTTTCTATAGAAGAACAGCAGAATTCATCGTTCACTTGTGAAAGGCGAAAAGTTCAAAAGATTGGCTGAATAAAACTATCATCATACTAATGATTTCAATGCGCTTCCAAGACAGTTTGATCTTTCGCTACGGAGACACTTCTGGAAACAAACGAATCTTGAATACCATTCGAAAGAGGAAACAGCCACGTCGAGAGAAGGGCTTAACCTTGTGACTGCACAGTCTATGAACAAAATTCCAAACGAAAAGCCAAAAAATCCGCAGATGAACAAGTTCAAAAACGACGAAACTAAATCCTTCGACTCCAAAAGACAGATAGATAGCATGCAAAAACAGAGAAGAACTGAAACCATAAGCAAGGCGAGATGCGTATACAATTTTTCACCTCTGAAATTTTCATGTATGGCCAAACCAAACGAAGTCCCAGAATACGGCACGAGGAGGACTCCGGCGAACCGAAGCAACTCAATCCAGAACATAATTCAAAATCTCGCCGTTCGCACCATTTCCGAAACTCTAAGCCATTGCAGAGTTAGCAGGCGGCGCGTGGAGGATCCACTTCCAAGTAGTTCATAATTCATATTGAGAATTTGAGAGCCTTGAAGAGAGATACCCAACAGAATATGCCAAAAGGATTTCTGGAATAAAGTAGGATCGTCTCTCACAAGTTTCTTAATTAATTCTGATTCTTCCAAATTGAGTGATTATGTCAAATTAATCCATTAACACTTTTTCTTTTATTTGCCTTTTTCTTTATAAGTGGAAAATCCAACCTTCAAAATATGTATCGAATAATCTGAGGATCGAATTCCACAAATTGTTGAACACAAAAAATAAAATATACATGTATGTTAGTTTTTGAAACATACTTTTGGCATTAAAAAATTAATTAATTAATTAAATATCATTTACTAAGTGTCTTTTCATAACTGTTTTATTTTTGTGGTGTGTTTTTGAAAATTAAATTTATAAACATGAAGTATGTGTTTGTTTAGTTTGTTATTTATCTTTTAAAATATTTTCAAAATAATTTTTAAAAACTAAAAAATGTTATTTTTCTTGTTTTTAAAATTAGGTTAAAAGTCCAATGAGATTTTAAGAAATGTGATAAAAATACTAAATAAATTTTAAGAAACGATCATACTTATTAAAAATATAAAATTAAAAACGAAATAATTATCCACACGTCTAAACAATTAATTTTCTTTGTAATATTTATTTTCAAACCTATTTTTTTCCCTCAATACAATAAATGCACGTATGGGATCTTCAAATAAAAAGAGGAAGGGGAGAGGGAAATAAGAAAAAAAAAAGGGGTAAGTTGTACTATTCCCCAACTTTCCCATATGCATTTATTTACTTTTATTCTCCCCACTCACCTCTCTATCTTTCCAATCAAAGTGCTTTTTGACGTGTCCAAAGAATCTTATTTCATATTCTAAATTAAAGGTGAGGGTCAACCTTTTTTTATCTGTGAGTGTTCGGACCAGCTTATTGTCTGATTCTACGAAACATATAAAAATTAATCTCTAAGTAGGTGATTATCATGGAATTTGAACTCATTCTCTCTAAATCATTTCGATTTACCTTACATATTTGGACCAGTGAACAACCTATAAAATTATTCTTCCATTTTAAATGGAGTTATTTGTGGATTCCAATACTTAGAATCTATTTTTATAGTTGTATAAAATATTTCCATTGTTTCGTGTTACTGTTACCAAATGTTCGACCGTTTTTTAAAATGACAGTTTTCTTTAAATGCATGAAATGTTTTTGCTTTAACATGAGATGATGAATTGGTATTCAAAGAGAAGATGTTGTGAGAAAACTATCAAATATATAGTAATGATAGAAATATATAAGTCAAAGTGAACATAGTTCAACGGTAATTGATACATATTTCCATCCAAGAGATTGTAAGTTCGAATCCCTACCTTCACATGTACTCAAAATTATGGTAGAAATATAGAGGAAGATTTAACCAAATTATGGAACGATATAGAAACGTTTGAAATAAAACATAATAATCTAACCTAAAATTTATTTGGTAATTAAGGAAAGAATTGTTATAATTCCTTCATCAAACTAGGAGAAGAAGAAAATGAAGGATAGAAGAGGAGAAAATGAAGGATAGAAGAGAATAATGTAATGCCAAAAAAAAAAATGGCGCAGTAATGCCTAAAGCCTACTAATTTTGATTGTTCCACTGCCCTCATTAATTTCATTCCTTGCCCATACCAATTATTGGTGAGTTGTTTTGGTTCATTTTAGTTACTTTGTTTTTCCATGAAATATAGTTATAAATTTGTATTGATTTCTATTGAGTATAAAATTTGTGTTAAAATTTTACAAAGAAAACCAAAATGATCACTTTATAAAAGTACGGTGATAAAAACGAACGTTTTGAAAGTATAAAAACTAAAATGAACAAAAGTTAAAAATACGGAAACTAAAATTATTTAAAAATATAAAACTAAAATAAATCAAAGTCAAAAGTACATCGATCAAAACTAGTATTTAAATAAAAAATGATTTTGTAGATCAATCTGAAAATTTTTATCAAACATGTATAAAATGTAACTCCAAACGTTGGGTATACTGAATTGATATATATATATATATATATATATATATATATATTTTTTTGCTATCAATCCCTTAAAATTAAATTTTTTCACTTGTAATCCTCCTTTTTTTAATCATGATATCAATGAAACAAATCAATTGCTTTTTTACACACGCAAAACAATAACAATAAATAATAATAAACAAACAAACAAACAGTTTAGTAGTTAATCTTATCATCTTTTCAAATGATATGATTGTTCAAGAATATGAATCATGGTTTCTTTTTAAGACGTCACATGCATGTTAATCTCTTCAACAATAAATCATCTTTATCTATTTTTTGAAATGACATTTTTTTTTTATATGATTGGGAGTCGGAACTTTGCTCCCTTATATATAGGGATACCCCTACCCTCCCTAAGGCCCGAACTCAGGAGACATCATCTTATCATATGAACCTAAAATCAAATAATTCTCATTTGCGTCAATTTCTTTTAAATTTACTCAAAAAATGCTTCATTCCAATAAATGTATAGTCTTTACTTAGAAACCTACAAGCTACCACATTTCAGCATGCTTATCAATTTAAACTTCAAACTTCAATGGCTAAAAAGGATAAGAAAGCTTCAGGACATTATTAATCAAAGAACAGAAGTGAGGCCCTTTCCAAAGCAAGCAACAGTTTTGAAGTGCATATTTGATCTTGCTATCAAAGATATGGCCAAATCATTCTCCAAATACAAAAAAGAAAAGAAAGGAAAGAATCTGGATAAGCTCAGAAGCAAACTCAACAAGCACATGTTGGTGAGAAACAGAGGACAAAGCAACACAATACAACTTTTTATTTAGTGTTTGTTTAGGCATAATTTGAATTTGGTGGTGGGTTCAATTGTAACAGCGCATTGGCATTTGTTCCCACTTGCATTATTATTATTATAATATAAACTTCACCATTACCTTTACACTTTTTGGGTGGATTTCAATGTGATTTTGTTTCTACCTTTTTCAATGTTGTGGCTCTGAATCCATCTGCTCCCAGATTCTAGTGATCCTCTGGAAAAAGAAAGCCACAACTCTGCCACGTTTATCTGTAACAAGAGAGGTAATTTTTCTTCAAGTTTAATATGTTAATGGAAAAAGTACAGAGAATCCATTAAAACAAAATATATATTGAAGTAACGTAATTTAGCCTTGTATTCAAGAAAGAAATTGATCAAGACCACCAACCTGTATGAAAGTGGGGATGTTAAGAAAAGTTCACTTTTCCCACTGCTATAATTCGTAATCTCCACAACTTTGATTGTCAAAAGTTCAAAAATTCTCCCTTCCCCTCCCCTTCGATGGTTCCTGAAAAGTTGTTCTACAGAATAAGTCATCAAACAATCTTTCGGGTTTAATCTATGAGACAATTGTCGTTACCTAAAAGAGGAGTTGTCATAGTAAATTGTACTTTGAATAGGACTTGTTAAAATTATTGAATCTACATCGCTTGGTACTTCGGTAGTAAAAGTGTCTAGTTTCTGGCTTTCTTTTTGTCTGCCGAATTTGTTGTCATAGTTATGGTTGGTTATTTCCTGTCTTCCTAACCTCTAAAATCTGATCTTGCTGCTAACATGGCTTGTACTTTCTCTCTCTTTTAAAAGCTGCAACAAAGCTGCTGTATCTAACAAAGTTTGTGGAGGATATTGGGTTGTTGGCATATATGGGACAGCACCAAGTGCACGACATAGACCAATTGTCAAGTTACAGATCACTCATCTCTCTCATTCTCATAAAGTTTCCCATCCCCATTTTGATTTTTTCCATGTGTTGGTTGGACCACTAAACTGCAATTTGCAATCCATTTTCATGCATCTCTCGAAGGGAAGAAATGGTTGCTTGCATTGGACAACAAAGCATAGACCAGTCCTCTTAGACTTGATCAGCTCATCTATGATTTATAAGATAAACAAGTATTAAATAATAAATCTAAAAACTCAAGTTGATAAGTTATGTTATATTTAACATATATATATATGTATATTTTAATATGAAACAAATATATATTTAACAAATATAACTTTTATGAATACATGAACTCAAGTTGATAAGTCATGATATATTTAACACATACATATATATACATTTTTTAACATGAAACCAATATATATTTAACATCTTATGTAGATTATTAATATATCTCCTCATAAGTGAGGGAAGGTATTAATTTGATCCACAAAATCTAACACGTGAACTATTTAATATCAAGTAGGGAGGAAATGACACGGAAAGGTTCGAACTCAAAACCTTCGATTGACTCGGTCATCCTAATAAATTGTGGTTAAAATCATAAACCCATCAACTATAATATAACTTTCATGTATATTCTTAACAAGGATACAGGAAATCTAATGGCAAGCATTTAACGAACAATTTTTTTTTTAAATAATAATAAGAGGTGAAGAAATTGCTGTTGTGGTGCTGACCAGTTTGGCGTAATTAATAAAGAAACAAGTGGAAGGACTGTTGGGAGGAACAACTGTGTTTGAGGCATAATCCTATTTTAAATCAAAGTGGAAAGCATGCAAAGCAGTGAGGTTTGATATTAAGTATAAAGAAGAAAAAAGAATTCTTTAAGTGGCAAAGAAAGTGACTCCATTTAAACCCACTTTCTTTGTGAAAGTGGATCTATATCTTTCAAATAATTAAAAACTCCATTGGCCTTAAAACACTCCCAAGGAATAATTTAACAGCAATTCTAGTCTTGGTACAGAACATGAACAATCAAATTTTATGCTTTTTGGTCACAAATTTATCCTATAGGCAAGCTCCAACTGCCCTTTGAATAGAGATTCCGTTTAATTTAATTAAATTTTAGTACTTTAGTTCGGGATGACTATAGTGGCCAGATCACCATAATTAATTTTTATTCTCTGGTTGTAAATTATTCAACTTGACACCAATAGAGTGCCTTAACAAGATAGTCAACTCAACGACTAATGGCAACAAATCTGGATTTGGAATTTTACATTGAAGAAATGAACTCAAATAGCATATTTCTAAACTACTCTCATATTTTCTATTGTCATAAACTTAATTGTTACGACTGAAAGTAGGACAAAGTTACAAACCCCTAGGATAAGGGAAGACATTAATAATTCTTCCGATGGTTAATATCTAAATAATATTCTCAATTAATTTTTAAATATACAATCCAACTTATTTTTGGTAAATTGAATGTATCAATCCAAATAATAGATTCTTATATCATTTTCTCCCCTCTAATGGCATGAACTTAATCATTGCATGACTAACAATACATGGATTAAATCATCCATACAAAATAAAATTTAAAAAGCTGACACAACCAGAATTGAAGTGCTTTAGAGATTAAAAAATGTATTTTAACCTAATAAATATAATAAACCATATAAAGCTTTTAGAGAGAAACCTCTAAACATTGTGGAATTGGTGGCATCTTAACAAATAAAGTGAGGGTGAGAAACAAAAAGGGCGGTTGTGGAAAGTGGAAAATTCCATAGATATATATATAAAAAAATGAAGGCTGGAGCCATTAGTCAACTGAAGAGGCAAACAACTGTGTGGTTTGCTTGGTCCATTAAGTTGATATTAAAGTAAGAACTTTTAATGAATTGCCTCTCCCTGTTGGTAGTTGAAGATAGTGGGGATTTATTGCTCTTTCCATTATCTTTAACCCGACCTTCCAATTTCAAAACCATGTCTTCTCCATTTACTAAAAGTTCAGAATTTTTCCTTTTCAACCCAACCAGTTTCATTGCTTCCAATTACCCAATCAACAATTATTCCTATATTTAAAGAAACAATAGGTAGTAGAAATCTGATACAACAATAGGGCTACATATATTTCCTTGTGTTTGGAAGGATTTCAAAAATTCATGACATGGGACTATGAGATTTGCATGGTTTCATCAGATGATATTTCCTTAGAAAATATCTTGGCAAGATAAAAGTGATGTTGGCAGACTCCATTTGAAATCTTTTAATTAAACGCAACTTAGGTTTATGTATGAGGGTGTTTGGTTGAAGAGTTTTGAGATGTTTGGATTAATGTGGCATGAGATTGTAAAGCCTAATTTGTACAACATATGTTCCATTGTGCAAAGGGAAGTGGATGTGCAGTACATCTAATTCGTAGGTTGTAGTTAGTAAAAGTTAGTATAACCTAAAAGGTAAATTGCAAAAAAGTGTCTACGAGATTAGCAAACTCACGATTTAAAAATATATACAACCTACCTACTAAACCTAACTTCAACTTTCAAATTATATGTTACACAAATTTAGAATTCAAAGACACCGTTGTACAACCTTAGAACAGATCCGGTTAAAGTAAGGTCATTACATGCTATACAAACTTAATTCATGAGCCTAAAAACTCCAAATTCTAGCTAAGAGTCTAAGACTATCAATGCTGCTAACGGATTAACTGAACGTCGCAGTCCATTTGAATCGAATGTCAAGAGTTTAGGCTAAAGAGGGAACCAAGTGGCAAAAAAGATAAATCTTGAAAAGAAGCTACCAGGAACTTGTCTAACAAACCCAAAAGTACTTTTCCCTTTTCCATGTGCCTCACGTTCCAAAGCATCCGTCCGCCCAAGTGCAAGTGGACTCTCGTTTTAAAGCTTGCCACTTTCTAGACGGGATTCTCTCCAAAGTTCACATTGCCCTCTAAAATCTCCCAAAACACAGTTTTCTCACTTTTATAATGTTGTCTTATTCGTTGTAACAGAATCATTTTCATTCACTCAAATCAATTTAAACAACATCGATGGGCCTACCTTCACTCAGCTTACACTTTACGGAAATGATAACTTTTTTTTCATCCGTGGCATCAGGGCCCACCCCGCTACTCCACGGAGATATTCATACGTTCGGTTACGAGATACATCTCATTTATTGAACTTTCCAACTAGAGGATTTGAACCTAGGTCCGAATTTCTTACCAAATATCCTAAACCCTTACCCCAAGGGCCGCCCAATGCGGCTTTCTAGAAATGGCACATTCTTGATAATAGTTTATCGAAGCCTTCAATGACAGATTCGTAAAGCCTGATTCATTTTAAAATAATGTATCCCTGTTCTAGTTAAATACTAATTCATTTTTTATGGAATTAAATGGCCTTGAGTGGTTCACTAATACCTTCAGTATGCGCTATCATTCATCACTATCAGCTTTGTTAATTCCCACGATCATACAACATACTACCACGAAAGGTCGTCACATAATTTGTAAAAGACAATCACTCAGGTGCTAAAAATTGTGGAGAAGAATTTAAAGGATGTGTGTGTCGAGCAAGCAAAATTTTGAAACAAGAAAAATGGTGAAGGCATAAAGGTGCTTACACTAAAAAACAAATCAGTCTTAAAAGTTTACAGTTCATATAAGATGAGAGCAGAACAGTTACTACATAAACAGAACATTATTTAAATATTAACGAGAACTAAAATAAAGTTGTCATGAGGAAGGGATGTAGATTTATCTTTTGTACCGAGGCATCACGTCTCTCTTGTTCGATTCAATTTGGAAAGACCATTACCTAAAGAAGGTGAAATTTTTTCGATGGAGAGTCAGCCATAAAGCTATCAATACCGATGACAAACTACAAAGAAAAATGCCTTATATGAATTTATCTCCTCACCAATGCACCATTTGCAAGCATAATTCCAAATCTTAAGGTTACATTTTTCTAACTTGTGATTTTGCAGCAGCTTTTTGGGAGGCGATATTATTAGCTTTTGGGAGCTTTTTTTTAGTATTTGGAAGGAAGAAAATCACAAAATCTTTCTTCAAGAGAAGGTCCCTTTTGTTAGGTTCTTTTTATGCTATAGTTGTTTGGCTATTACTTGACGTAAAAACTCTCCACTTCTCCATCACTATAGCTTTTCTTCACTTACATCCAATTGGAGAAGTCTTTTTAACTCCCTTGGATTTGGGGTTTACTGAGTTTTCTAATTTCATACCATCAATAAAATTGTTTTTCATTAAAAAAGAGGACGGGATGCAGATTAACTTATTCTATTACCAAATCCTATTGTCATTCCACAATCCCTTTAAGCGTCAAATGCTACTAGAAAATGCTTACTACCCATCTTCCAAACATGTAATAAAATCTCCAGACTCTAAAACTTCCTTCTATATCTTTTGATATCATACTATTGAGGGTGTTTCTTTTAATATCTTTTAATACACTCGACAAACAAAATGGATATTTCTTTGTCAGTAACCATGTTGTCTTAAGACTCTTAACCAATCTTAACAAGAGAAGGCATGCTAAGGCTAACAGGTTTGTAGTTGTGCAAGCATAAAAAACCATGTTAGGAAAAATCTTTTAAATGTACATTGCAATAGACAACGTGTTACTATTCTTACATGTTCCTCAACAACGGCTTAAACAGCTTCTGCATCAGCAGTGTTGGCCAGTCTACCAATTGTTGGTTAGGTTGAGCCTAAGCAAGAGAACCTTCTTCAACATCAACTACAACGGACATAGAAAAGAAGACAAAAATTAAAAGCATATTCCAAATGAATATAAAGGACAATATCAGTTTACGATTGGAAGCAGAGTAAATAAAACCTCATATTAACGATGTCCAAGCCCCTACAAAGAGCTTCTTAAAAGTTGAATCCCCGAGTGGGCAGCGAATAACCATAAACATAGAAACATCAACAGAACAGCATCCAAGTCAACCGCGATGCAAAATATCCCCTAACTTTATACATCTGACACTTGAGCAATTAGCGATAAGAACATAGATAGAAGCACAATTGTACGAGGAATTAGCATCAAAGAAAATTTAGGTGAAGCTACAACTTCCCATAAATGTAAGAACAATCATTATATTAGGTGCATTTTGGACTTAAACATCGATAACCTTTTTTATGATCCCGCAAATTATTGAGATATTAACATTTTAGAGCTTCAGTAACTGAACAAAAAAGGTATAGACATGTGGAATATTTGTGCCAATTAAGACAACGTAAAAACACAGCAGACAGCAGACCGTTTTATGATCCCTCAATTTATTGAGAAGTTAACGTTATAAAGCTTCAGTAACTTGATGGAAAAGTAAAAGCCGTGTGGAATAAGCTCATTAAGACAACATAAAACCACAGCAGACTTGTAATTTATGACATGTAAATAATGGAAGAGCAGAAGGAATACAAAACAATATTTGATTATGTATTATGATATGTAGTTTAAATTCCAATGTTTGCTTCTTGAAGCTCCATCTGCGCCAAAAGCAGTAAATACAAAATCAACATCACTAAAAGATGTTCAAACCACACCAGCACGTCACCAAAGCTTTTACTCAGTGGGAAAATGAACGAAAAGTTATTTGTTTGGTTGAAAAGCTCATTTCAAAGTATTAGGTATCTAATGAATTTGAAAAGCTTGAGAACAAGAAGTCTATATGGAGCAGAGCCAGGATGCAAATTGTAAATTATGAATAGCTAAAAGAACCAATCGCAGGAGGAACATATAAGAGCTAATCACTTCATCGTTCACTTTGAAGGATTTCAGTCTATCAGAATAAATGAAATTTCCATCGCCAAACTTGAAACCGGCAAGAACTGAGTTGCAAGAACAACCAAAAGAAAGCGTGCATAGATGATAAATGATATCCACTTTCACCGATTCAAGAATCTAATTATGAAATGGCACAATTTTAAACCTGACAACAGCCAAACAAAGCCCTGTAAGGCTTAAGAACCCAGTCGCTCATGATGCTGCCTTATCAGTTTGTACCCAGTAAAGTCAAACCGAGTATAGCTCAAGTAGTTAAGACACCTATCTCGGACCAAAACGTCATGAGTTCGAATCTTCACCCCCCACATGTTGTACTTAAAAAAAAAAAGTTTGTACCCAGTAGTAGTTGCTTCCACCTCTCTCCCAAAACCCCGCACCAATGCAAGAAGCTGGATCTCGTAAATACATGTTCACTTGGGAGGGATCAATGTCAACGTTATTTGAGATCATGTTGATGCAAGGAACAAAAACATTCGTTGGTCCTAGACCCATATTATCTAAAGTTACTAAAGAATGAATAATTTCGTAGAGCAATAAACATCTTTCCCTCAAATTTTCATTTATTCTACATTTCTCAGAAGTATGTTAACAAAAAAAAAATAAATAAATAAATACAAAAAATTCTCCCTTATAACTTCACAAAATATAGGAAGTTCCATTGTAATCTTGCAATGTTGCAGAAAACATTAGAAGCTACCTGCTTCTCCTCCTTAGAAAATCCAGTTTGTAGTCAATCATATGTTAACTAATCAAATGAATAGAGTTGAACCGTTACTGATTATTTTTCTGTAATGTTCCTTTAAATGATTAAATTCTTGTACAAAACTTCTCAGGCCTGGTGCTGAAGCTTGAATCAAAGAGGATAACTGCATAAGCAGCTTCAAGCCTGCCGGTTACCCAGTACATTCCAGTTTTTAATAGCAAATTAGAACACAATTAGCATTGCACTCGCCCAAAGAGCCAAAGAGATTTTATCTGGTGCTACTTCAAATTTTCAACCGGATAACCCACCTATTTAAAAACACCAACTGAAGACCTTGTGATAGAATTTTATCATCAATTCTAAAACTCAGCAACCTTTCCATGATTGGTGGAGGATTAGCTCAAAAACTCAATGGGCTCTCTGTAACAGATAGAATACTCGAGCTGAAGGTAATGAATGGAAATTATCACCAATAATCAAAACAAGAACATGTACCATCTTTGAAGTGGTGAAAACGAAATTTATCCCTAACAATTATTTCTCGATCAGCAATGATAGAGATGTGTTTAATTGCTGAATGACAGTCCTCACATATCCGAAGGTTCTTCACAATCCTAATAGTCTCTCCTTGATTGGTTTTAAGTAACCCAAATGCTAGTGCCAGCTTCTCACTATGATATCTAAGGGCATGATCCCTCTCCTCTTCTTCCAAATCGTGCATCAAGGATTCAGGTGCCGGCACATAGCCCAATTCACTACAGCGAGACAATAATTCATCTAAATACCTATAGATTGCATTTGTCTCAGGATGGGACTTGTCACCCATGCTAAACAAATATGTTCTTCGATTGATCTCTATTGTGCTATAGCCTACTTGCTTCTTTAGGCGTTGTCTAATCATCATGTTTCGTACCATCTCCACTCGGTCCATCCTACCAGCCAACGCATATATGTTAGAAAGCATTACATAATGACCAGGGTTTTCCGGATCAACTGCTAAAAGATGTTCAGCAACCTCAACTCCAAGGTCAAAATTTTTATACATCCTACAAGCCCCAAGCATTGAGGTCCAAACTGCTGGACCTGGCTCTTCAGGAAGACATTTTTTTATAAATTGATAAGCCTCATTAAGCAGTCCAGCACGCCCAAACATATCTACCATACAAACATGATGTTCTACTCCTGGAACTAACCCATATACTTCCTTCATGCTGGCAAATGCCAGGCGACCATCATCAATCAACCCAGAATGAGCGCATGCAGACAAGATTGCAACAAACGTAATATTGTTAGGAGGAGGACCATAAGCTCTCATTTCACCAAAAAGCTTCATTGCTTGCTCGCCATAACCATGCATCCCGTACCCTGAAATCATAGCTGTCCAGGAAACAACATTCCTTTTGTTCATGGAGTCAAAAACTTCACGCGCTTTGCTCACATTCCCACATCTAGTGTACATGTTAATCAAAGAAGTACCAAGAACCACGCTGAGATCAAAACCATTACTATTAGCATAATCATGCAACCAGCAACCTAAACCAAGAGCCCCCAGCTGAGAACAGGAAGACAATAAGCTCACTGTTGTTGCTGAATCAGGTTGAAAGCCGGACTCCAGCATCTGATGAAATAAACCAATTGATTCTGCCGGGAATCCATTTTGCTCGTACCCTGATATAAGTGAGTTCCAAGCCACAATTGTTCTTTGTGGCATTTCATCAAACACCTTCTTGGCCACTTTCATATCACCAGCTTTGGCATAGAGAGCAATTAGTGCAGCCTGAACATACATGTCTGAACCATAACCACAAACCATAACGTGAGAATGAATACCTCTACCCAACCTCAGAGCGGAAAGATCTGCGCAGGCTTTGATCACGGACGTAAAGGTGTAATTCGAATGGGGAGCATCGGAAATAAGCATATGACGGTAAAGCAAGACGGTATCAACAGAGTAACCGAACTTTGAAGTCGCTTTGAGGAGGGAATTAAAGAGGAAAGAGTCAGGATTTGGGACAGTGAGGAACAACCGACGAGCATAGGCGATTGAGCCAGCAGAACAAACCAGTGAAATAAGCTTGGTGAGGAGGGATCGACTTCTGTGGGATCCGGAAACGATAATACGGGCATGAACTTGTTGGAGGTGTCTCAAACGGGGACCTGCTTGAAGAAGCGATTCGTAGACTGGAGAGTGGGGTCGCGAATCAGGAATGCTAGTAAGATGATGATGATGATATGCAAGTGTTTCGACTTCCACTGTAATTGGAGACTTGATTTCGTTCATAGTCGGATTGATTTTACTTCTACATCTAATGCATTTGATCTAAGAGGGAAAACCATTCAAAGAATCAAATAATGGAACCAAAATGTAAGTTTACGCCCAAAACAAGAAGCAATCAAGTAATCTTACAGTTGCAGTTCCTTCCAACGCCTCCAAAGACTCCCTCAGGGGCCCTCGCCAAAAGCCGAAATTTCGCCATTCTGGCTTCTAGTGTATGCTTTTTTTACTTCTCAGCATTGTCAATTGTCATCTTGTTGCCGCAGATGCTACGACTCCTCAACAAGAACATGAAAATTCCGTTCAGTTCGCGGGTTCCAAAATATAGGGTCCGTTCCACCCGTACAAAATAAATATAAAATAATTTAAAATGAAGAGAAATATGATTAATGACCATTATCTATATGACCCCTTCTTTTGTTTTCTTTTCCGTTTTTCTTATTTTTCTTTATGAGTACACGTAATTAAATATTACCTCTTCTACTGCACGTGTCATTCCCTTATTTTTGTTGCAGTCGTTTTTATGCCGCTCCAAAAATGGACATGTATCTTCTCTTAATAGTTGACAATCATTTAATATAATTTAAAAAATATAGTGCTTTAATTCTGATTTAAAATAGTTTTTAAATCCACCTGTACTTTTTATTTCTATTTAATTTAATTTTAAGTCCCTTTTAGTTAATTTTATACAGAGTCAAGAGTGTGTACCCTGCTATTATGGAAACAATTGATATAGCAATGAAAATGAATAGACCAAAATTACCACCTTTTAAATAAGGATTGGATTTCCACCAAAAAAAAATCTGTCTATTCTTTTATTTTTAAAATTATTTTTCAATTAAATAATTTTTTCTAAGAAAATTGTAATTAATTGTTTAATTTTCAACAATAAAATTCTATTTACATGATCCAATCTTCCATATATTGAATGGATAGAGAAGAATATGATTTTATTGGTACTTTTATATATATTATATATAATAATAATAATAATAAGATTTTGTTAATATATAAATAAAAAGTGAAAATGGGAAAGGTTAAATGACGGGAAAAAACTTTCCTCATCCCGTTTTGGCAGGTCCCCACGGAGCCTCCCATGGAAAACTGAACATCCTAGTTACTGATATTGATGGGTTGGGCAACAGTACTTCACTTTCACATGCTAATTTCATTTTCCTCTCTTTCGTACTTGGAACTTTGAAAATAAATTTCATGGCTACGTCCAGGAATGTGTATGGATTCTTCTGTGCTCTCTCTGTTACTGTTATATCATTTCCAGTGTACTTAACATTCTAGTAATTTACTATTTATGTAACTATTTCAAAAATTAAACCAAAATTCTCCAAGGGCTAAAAATCCAGAACTAAGTGACACGAATGTGAACTTTTAAAAATTTAGACCAAAATTCTCACAAGTTCAAATCATCTGCCCCTCCCCAACCCTCCTCCTTCAGAACGATCAGATGGATTAGGGAGCTCAAAATATGAACTTTGTCAGGTGGGTTCAAAAAGTGATGAAAAAACTTATCCCCATTTACTAAAATAAAGCTCTGGTTTTTGAAAACAACTTGTTTAAATAGATTTTTTTTCCCCAAGTGATGAATCCAAAACTGTAGCAAGAAGAGAAGAAGACTTTAAATATTCATAATCCTCTTCGAAACACAACTTCATTTGTAGCTAAGTGATATTGGCTTCTAAGACTCAACTTCAAGGAATTCATCCATTAAACTTGAACACCAAATTTATACAGAACATCAGCACTATAGAAAGTATAAAAAGTTTCAGTGGGCAGCTCTAATAATGCTCTCTTCACAAGATTTCCCGTGAAACACAGTTGTTCTATTTCACTAAACTGAAGAACTCAGTAACAAAGCATCAAATATGATATATATTTAATTTTGCTCAATAAGCACAAAACATTTACAAGAGGACTGTGGTTTTCAAAGCTGAGAGAAATATTCAACAATCAACAAGGGAAGAAAAAAACACACAAAGGAAAGTGGGGATGGATTGTTCCCTTTCTGCCATATTCACCTGAACGTTTGAATCGCCTTCTTTCCCGAATTTTGAACAGGTATCCGTATCCAGATTCAGAAATCTTAATGCAATTTGCAACTTGGAAGCAAAAGAAAAGACTCGATAATTACTCAGAAAACTAATCATACTTTTCTCTCCAGGAATAAAAAAGAAAGAAGACCCAAGAGAGGGCGAGAAGAATGTCACCAACAATCTGCCTCAGCCAATCCCAGGCCATGTCCTCCACTCGTCGCTCGAAGTAGAATCTCCACATCGCCATTGAGACGTGAAGCACTGTACATCCCTTGGCGAAGAACCCTTGAAATTCCTTGTCCTTCACGAACGAAACCATGAACAGGAGAAACCCGATTGCGAATAGGAGCAACCCGGAGAACGAATCGGAGGTCCGAATCAGGAGCTGATCGTGCGGCGTAGACCCCATTAACTTAGTGGCGGTGTCGATCCCATGGCCAATCGTGTAAATCTCCTTCATATAGAACATCATGAGGGTCCCGCTCGTGATGGCAACCACAGAGTGAAGAAGGCAGATGACAGGGAAAGTCGACGACGACGACGATCCCATTATAATCGGACGGTGGAGAAAGCGTCGCACCTACGGATTTGGCACCGCGACCATGGCTGCTCTGTAATAGAAGAACCCTAACGCGGCAGCTGAAATCTGAATTTTGGAGGAAGACGACGAGCCGAACGAAACCGTGAATCGCGATCGGGCTTTTTTATTTTTTATTTTTATTTTTATTATGCGTGTCCCTTATATAAATTTTTTTTATATTTTATTTCTCTTTTTTCTTGGAAGAATCTGAAGAGAGAGAGTGTACACTCTGGATAAGTATCTCATTCGGGACCCAGCTGGGCGAAATTTTGCTTATTCGACACTGTTTTCTGATTAATACGTGGCAGCGGATGACAGTGCCGACAGATTCTTAAGGGGTCCACTTGTAATTATGTAAATATTTTAAGTCAAGATTTATATCCACTGGGCTCTAATGGGCCCTCTCAAGAGGAAATCGATCCCCGGTAGATGGGCTTAGCCCAATCTTGTGCCCACCTTTTTTTCTTAATAAAATAATATTTGACAATAAATAAAATAAAAATGTTGTTGTTATGTTATGCGGACTATTTCTTTTTTTCTTTAAAAAAAATTGCGGACTATTTTTTTTTAAACTCTAATACATTTTCCTTTTTCAAACCTATCATCAAAAGTAGTATATATTGAGTATTTAAATGAATTATTATTTAAAATTTTAAAATTTTTACGATTTTTGGAGCTATTTATTTTGGGCAAAATAAATTTAATTGTTTTATAAAATGGTGATTCAAATAGTTTCGGGCATGTTGATGTATTTTATTGTCCACTTGTAATTATTCTGTTTTAAAATGATAATAGCTTGATAAACAATGTTTAGTTGACATTTATTTAAAAAGAAGTTGATTTGACATCATTGTTTAAGAGAAATTTAAATTTTGAAATTTAAAAATCAACCACTAGAAAAATATATAAGAAAGATCAAGAGTCTATGATAAAATATAATTTCTTTTCAAAGTTTTTTCACGATTTAGAAATAAGCAAAGTAATTGTTGCCTTTTGCTTGTTCCAAAAGGTGCTGCAATCACATGGACAAATATTTCCTGATAAGTAGTTCTGGAAAATTAAAATATTTCATCTTGATAATTTAACTCATTGTGGTAAATAAGTATAGTATAACAATCTTTGTTTATACAGTACAAACAGAAAAAACAGAGCAAAACAAATTAACAAAAAAAAAATCTCATCTTTGGTGACAGCATCAATAGCAGGGGTGGTCTTCTAACCAGATCTGTAAATTTTTATTTCTTCAAGCATGACACGCTAGTTCATGAGTAATAGAATTACAAGCACGTGGAGAGAAAAAAAAATCAACAATAAAACCTCGCCTCTTATGGTCTTTGCGCTCATTGATAAAAATTGAAGTTAATTTGCCACATGTTCATCACGAACGAGATGCTTTTAGAGGATCAAGGAATCGACCTCAACCCATAACGAATGTAGATCAACTTCATGCGCTCTCTAGACGCCTTCAATCAGAGTCATTAGTTTTGCGTACTTGTGATAGCCATAAAGGTTTTAGCCACTCGCATTGAATCTCCATGCGAGTATCTAACCGTTACTCCTAAATCCAGATTTTCAACACAGAAGCATCAGAGTTAGGTTAATGTGTGCCGTGAGGTTTATGAATGTTGAGTTGGAGAAGGATCTTCAAGATTTGATAAAATAATTCTTCAATTCGACCGTGAATAAACATATTTGAAAGTAAGGTTGCTATCAATCTTCTCAATTGTACCAATAGTCCAATTGATTAGGTCCATAAGCATTTCTTACCAGCAACTAAAAAAATGTGTATATTTCGACGCCTTCAGATAACCGATGCAATCAAACTATCCTGCACGACCCTATACAAAATAAAGATGAGATATTACTAAAAATCGGAAAGCATTGAAATTGTGTGCCAAAAAATTCAAAAAATTTACTTCCTTTGCACGCCCATAACACATGAATTTTGTCTTCAGTGCCACATTTACGCATTGGACAGGAATAATATCTTTATTTTTGTAGGAATGTTAATTAGACTCTAAAAATTCTTTCATATGTGTGAACTATGCTCGTTTTGGCCATGACAAGAAAATGTTGATACCACCACTTTATAATATTTTTTTATGGAATAGAAACCTCCGGTATAACAATTTTAATTCAAGACAATTATTGAAAATATAAAATAATACAAACGAATTGGTTTATGAGAAACATTACATTATTTGTTAAACAATTAAATGGCAAAACTGACACTAATTTCACCTAACTGCTAAGGCATTCGTTGATGAGCCAATCTAAACACAATTTATAGAATTACGGCTAAAAATAGATTGAAGGAAAAAATCTTATAGAATTTCAGTCAAAAAATATTTTATTCAAAATCAAAATTATTAAAAGTTTTATTTTTTATCACGGTTGAAGTGTCTTATAAGCTATATCATCTTAAATTTATAGTGAATACGCTTGGTTTGAGAGCAAACTATCCTTTGGCTATTCTTTTTATTTATTTATTCCTTTTTCTATTTTTAAAAAAAATAATTAAGAGTTCACAGGAGGAAGGGATAAGAATAAAAGCTAAAAGTAATAAATATTTCAATTGATATTGTACACCTCGAGTTCATACGTCAATCCAAATCCAAATATAAGTGTATCGATTATTATTATTATTAATTTTTTTGAGGTCAAAAGTTTAATCTTCTACTCCATATTTGTAGTACTATATATATATATATAAAATAAGTTTTGGCTTTGAATTTTTTTAACAGTGGTGTTCGTAGGATATGCTTGTTTTATAAAATGCATGAATTATTTATACGATTCAATTATTTTAAAATGAGGATTTGAATTCTAGAATTTGGTTTGTTAATTTTTTTTTTATTTTCATATAATTTATTTCATTTCAATCTCTCCCAATCTCTGGAATGACTTGAGCTCTCTCGAATTTTGGTTAAGGGGACATCGGGAATACCTTGATTATGTGTATTATTTATTCTACAACAATATTTACTCACCATTATTTTTTTCTTGAGCTCTCTCAAACTTTCATTTTTTTACTCACCACAATTATATATATAGTTATATTTATTTTATTTCAGGGGTATTGATTTGACCTTCATATTCAGTCGAACTCGCGGATCATCTCTACTTTTTTTAGTACAACGAAGTGGGGATAGTTGGAGGTATATGTTGAGCTATACTCATTTTGACGTGGATCATCTCTAGTTGCTAGCTAGTACTTAGATTTATAAAAGTATATAAATTTGAGTATACTTCCTTAAATATTTAGATATTATAGTATATTTAAGTAGCCTATTATTTTTTTTAATGCTAATTAAATTATTTATTTATTTGTATAAAACACTAAAAGAGTAAAGATAGAGTAGTTAGAGAGAAATGTAGATAGACTTTTATACAACGGAAGCTTTAAACAATTTCAATTCCACCATAGCTTGTTAGATAACACGTATTACAACTTCAAAGGTTACCAAAAAGTCTGTCTATTAACCATTCAATTATTAGTACAAGGTTTTCCTTAAAAAAAAAAAAGAAAGTCATACAAGATTTTCCCAACACAACATCTAAAACCAAACCCCCAAAATTTAAACTCAACCACACAGATCTATAAATTGAACCTAGCCATAAAAACTATTTAAAAAGAAAACACAAAGTCTGGTATGGTCCGCGTTCAAAGTTCAAAGTTCCGTCTTTGACAATTAGCTCTCGTGAGTGGTGACATTATTAGTATCCAAAGATATTTTTGCCTAATTTGTGGCATCAAAAATATCAATTCACTCACTTAATGCATAAAGCAACTTTTGTCTAGCTATAAAACCCCACGTATATTTGTGTTCGAGCCCTCCTGTATCCAGAAGTCAAGAAAGGCGAGAGCTATACTCTTTATTTGGAAAAAAAATATATATTTTTTTTAATATGCGAGTCAAATACATCCTTCACTGTTACCATTTTAAGACATTACATATTTGATAGAGAGCTGCTGTGGTTAGAAGAGAATCTTTTCCAAACAATAAAAAACATGAAATATCATATCAAACAGAAACAATGTTCCATTCCATAACAATGAATTGCAAGCTGAAACTATTTGGGGATTCCTAGCTGTGTTAGACAAGACAAAAAAGAGAGATTCAAATGTTTCTATCCAAATTCATCTTCCTAAACTAGCACCAAAAAACTTGCTCAAATTTGTCATACAATCTGGATAGAAGATATACAATTTTCACAGGAAAACGCCAGCTCTTTTTGCTTTAGCTTTTGCTTTATTCTTTTAAAGGCTTAAAAGCAATGTGATCTGATCCTATGAGATGCTGACCGGTTGGTTATATCTAGAGCCAAAAAAAAAATTTAGAATATTACGATAAATTCACAAATTTATCATAAAGAAGAGCCCAAAAAAATGGGAGTGAACAGCGTTGAAGTTTAATTACAAAAAACTTGGCCATGTATTATGAAAGATAAGTCATAACTCATAACATGGGGAACAAAGCGATGACTTATGTGAATTTTGGTTTGGGCACAGGCGAGGCTTCTGGGTGCAGAGGGCCAAGCTTTTGAATCCAATGGCGGAGCCCTTTCTTATGATCTTGGAAACTAGACAGAGGGTTCTCTACTAAATTCAGACTCCCGTCCAGGGCAAGCGAAGACTCGAATTGCTCCAATACCTTCACAACCTGCCAGAAATCGGGTCTCTTGTCTGGTTGTAGGGACCAACATTGCTCTATTAAAGCTCGCATCGCCAAGGGACAATCACTTGAGATAACAGGTCTAAGATTCTGAAAAAACACAGTTCTCTTAGTTTTGTTGAAAGAATAGAATATAGAAGTATCAACATCCATATCAATGTAACTGCCATGGACTATAAGTTAGAAATAACTCTGTGTGCCCACCTAACTAAGATTTTATAACAGAACCCAAAATAAATATAGGTCCAGGTTAATATAAAAATGATAGGATTAAGAGATATAAAATCATAGTAAATACATACTCATCCTCCAAGCATATGCAACAATATAATGATACGAAATCTCAAATGAAACTTCATCCCCACCTATGAAGAGGGGTTGGCTTAGGAAATTAGGTCAGGACCTGTCTTGCCCGGTAAATGGAAAAACAGATACTTTTATAAAAAAATAATGAGTTGAATGATGGTCAAAGTTAGAAGTTAAAGTATTTTTGAATAGATCAATAATTGAGGTGTATGAACCAAGTTTTCTACTAACTGTGATGAGATACTTCTATATCCAACTAATTACTATTTAAATTTCACTTTAAACTTTATGATAATAGTAGATTCAATGCATAAGAGCAACTTTCATTCGGTCACATGTACGATGATATATTATGACACTCACTACATAAACATGGAACATGTGAACTTCCCAAAGCAAACATGGAATAGGTATCAAATAAAACACCATGACTCACAAGATAAATTTAAAGAAGACGATAACCAAGAAACATGTGATTCAATAAAAATGACCTTATTGACAACAGCAAATGCTGCTTGAATGGGAGTCATATCCTCGTAAGGAATTGCGCCGGCCACCATTTCCCACAACATAAGTCCAAAGCTGTACACATCGACTTTTCGCCCATATGGTTTGTGTTTGATCATCTCTGGTGCCATCCATCGATAAGTTCCGGGATCATCAGCTAACGGGTCAAAATACGCCTCGGGACAAGCTATGCCAAAATCTGCAACTTTCAGGTGGAAGTCCTCGTCGATAAGAACATTCTCAGGCTTAAGGTCCCGGTGAATTATGCCCTGTGCGTGAATGTATTCCATTCCACGAGCAACATCTAAAGCAATTGCTATCAGTTTTTGCAAAGGAAGGGATTGGTGCTCGAGTTTATGTAAGTATGCCCTTAATGAACCTTGAGACAAATATTCAGTAATGACACAAAAAACTGGTGGCTTCCTACAGGCAGCTACAAACTGCAAGAGAAAACAAATTGACATCAAGAAAACTAAAAACATTACTCTGAAGTTCAAAATATCCTTTACAATCTAACAGTTCAGTTACCTTTATTACATTCGGATGATCAAGACGAGATAAAAGGGTAACTTCTCTGGCGAATTGCTTCTCTAATCGAGCAGCAAGCGCTCCATTTTCGTCGTCCTCGGGCACTCTGATAATCTTAACAGCAACAGGTTCATCGTTGTATTTTCCATGATAGAGACGACTGTGAGCTCCATGAGCAAACCTCAAGCCAAGAAACAACTTAGAGAGATCGACACTCGAATCGTCTTCAGTTTCAACTTCTGTTTCTACTGCGGTGACTCTTCCACCACTGGACTCGAAATATTTGGTCCAGGATGAGTCCTTCCGGAACTTTGACTTGTCGCTGCCACCTTTTCCCGAAGCCAAGTGCTTCAGGGGACTGGTATTCAACGATGGCTTGAAATTTGGCGGTTTTGAATCTTGAGGATCCCTGTGGAATAGCTTGTTCTTGAATTCCCTAGTCCGTTCTCTAAGCCGAGGAGTTGGAGTAGCGAATCGCTTACTGGCGGATTTCGCTTCCTTGAAAACCTCGGAGAGGTTGGACTGGAGGAGGGGAGACAGAGACCTCTGCTTATGCGCCGTGAAATTTCTCTGTATCTTCGAAATATCAGAATCCGGTTTCTGAGCAGACGAAGCTGATTGAGGCCTCGATTTCAAGCCAGAATTGCGAGGTGGCTCGACGATGAAAGGAACAGGATTCAATCTTAAGGAATCCCATCGATGGTAAACAGTGTGAGAAAATTTTGTTCTCCTCAGCCAAGAATTAGCCTCTTCGTCCATTTGTTTCGGTTTCTTCTTCTCCTGCAATTACTTGATGGAAACCCTAAAAGATCTTGAAACCACAGAGGTCCTTGATTTCCTCCCCCTCCTGCTCGGGAGGAGGACTAAAATCAAGTCGGATTCTCGGGAGCAAATGGGTGTGAATTCGCTGGCCCCAAAAGCTCGATTTCTTCAAACCCATCAAAGAAGACTAACGTAGAAACATTCTTTGTTTCACCAAATTAAAGAATCAATGAGACCCACAAAGACCCACAAATAATTAAGAGAGTTTTTCTGGATCGCTAAATCCAATTTTCTCCCACCAGGAAAACAATCGCCTTAAGCCACAAAGCAAACTTCCTTCTTCTGTTCTGTTTGTCCATCTTTCTTTTTTTATTTGGTTTCAAAGTCAAACTCCACCTTGAGTAAAAGCCTGGAAAATCCCACCCAGAGATCCCCAATTAATAAATCTCCCAAAAGAAGAAAAAACAAAATCAAATGCTACAGAGAAGAGAAAATCCCTAAAAAACCCCGAAACCACGAGAAAAATTCCAACCCGAATTAATTTATAGCCAAGAAACCCCAATCAATAGCCATCGCCCCCTCTTACTATTCAAACAATTCAATTAATTAACTTTAACCAGAGAGAAAAATAGTAATCGGGCAGATCCAAAAACCGGCCATTATCTCCTCTCCCCTAAAACAAGCAGTAAAAGGAAAATCCAGCAAAAATGGAGCGCTCGCTCACCTCATTGTCGGCCTGGCAACAAAACCCATCATCGGGTAATTCAATTTACTCAAAATTTCCGGCAGAAATTCGTAGGATCCATGTGGAGACAAACAAAAACATGGAAACAAATGTGTCTGGCGAAATGGGGTTGCAAATTACAAATGGAAGATCGAATTCGGAATTTGGGTGGGGAATTATTTCCTTTTTAATTTCTAATTTCTCTGGCTGTACAATAATAACTTACGTATACGTATGGAATAGGGGGGGGCCGTAGGGCGTAGAAGATTGAGATTCCATGGAATTGGAAGGGATATTTTTGGGGAGGTGCTGTTCTGTGTACAGTGGGGGAGATGTGACGGTGACTGCTCATGGTGATGCTGGCTGGTGGGAACCACATAACCAAAGTCGTAAAACACGGAACAGGAGAGAGAAAGGTGGGAATTTAACAAAGAATTTATGGTAATGCTGAGGTCATTATCGGAAACAACTGAGGGTACGGATGTAACTTTACCCTCGCCTTAACCAAGCCCAGCCCATGTTTTGGTTTTGGTACGGTTCGCACGGATACTGTGTACTCTTTCTTTTATCTCCATTCTCCACCGCTTGTTCTTTTTTTTTTTTAACCAAATTTTTTCTTCTTTTTTACGATTTATAATTTGTGGAGAGTGGGGTGTTGGCCTTACGTGTCGGGGCCTGATTGGGCCTGGGTTTTCATTTTTGGTGATATTGGGATGAGGAAAAACAGATCGAATCTTCTCTTTAAAAGAAAAAAAAATCAGTTTTTGTTGGTTTTGAAGTTTTAATTTGATTCTGATGCCCAATAAAATATCGTAATCCGCGGAATCAAGATTTTGTACAATTTTAATCTTTTTTTTTTTTTGGAGCGAATAAAAACCCTAGTTTTGGATTTAATCCGGCCGTCCTTTCAGATTTGTGATGGTTCGTTGGGAGTGGGTGGCCGTGGCCCAATAAGGGCCCATGGTAATGAATGGGGCGGGCCACTGGGTAATTGAGAGACCATGATTGTTGGGCCTAGAGGAAATTCAACTGGAAGGCCCAATTGGAGGGAGGAGGGCAAAAAGGGAAGGACGGTGGAGACAACTGTGGCAATTGTGCCGTTGAAGAGGACATAATTCGGGAGGTTGTTCTTTTTCAAAATGGCATCCCGCCTTTTTGTTGTCTGTCTTTTTGCTCGTTTTTGGTGGATTGTGATTCCATTGCAATGCTCGAAAAAAAAAATTGAAAAGAAAAAAGAAAAAGTTTTTCTTTTTTTTGCCTATTTTTAGTGTAGGGTCATTTCACAACGATGCTAGCACATGATCCCACGATCAATTTTTGGTAAGTTTTCACTTTTTAACTATATATGTATTGCAGTCAATTAATTTTAACTTTAAAGATGTTATATTTTTTTAAAAAGATCTGTAGTTAATTACGAGAACTACTGTGGCACTGGCAGGAAGAAGCTTTGAGATATAATTTTAATTTTAGTTTGGGCATTTTACTGTTGAATTTGTGTGGATATTTTTGCGGCTTGATTTTGAATTCTTTTTGGGATTCGTTACTCAGATTTAAGAAAAGTTTAAATAATTTTTTTTCCAAAAAAGTTTAAAGATTACAAAAAATATTTTAGACATTATAAATTTAATATAAAAGCTGATTTGCTAAGATCAACACTGTGCCAAAAAAAACAACTCCTATTGTACTCAATTTTAATGATTTATTGATATTGTATGTGATAAATAATGACATATCTCAATTCCAATAAGAAAAGTTGCAAATTTGAATTCCAACCTCTAAATATTTTAAAAAACAAATACATTTTTAGTTTATTGTTTTACATCATAAGCATTAAGTTTTTTATCTAACATTTAAATAAAAAGAAAGCAACCGAAAAGAATAAGCTGGATAATGGAGACAGAAAAGGGAAAAAAAGACACAATGATAATTTTGTCATTATATAAGAAAAATGATATTGTGAAAATTACAAATAAACTAATTTTTTTTAAAATATAATTGTAGAAAAAGAGCTACAGTACATTATGCAGAAGCTGCTATATATTTTTGCCCTAAACTCTGTAAATGTCGTCCTCTACCTTCTAATTTTCACAGCTCAGTTATGGATTCCGCTGTCTCCAAATTTCTCCTCCTCCTCCTCTTCTCCGCCATTTTCACCGTCTCCGCCGCCGACGATTTCACGGCGGCGGAAACACTCGCCGTTTCCCCCCAC